TTACAAGCAGCTCATGCAGCTTAATATCAAAAAAACAAACAACCCAATCCAAAAATGGGCAGAAGACCTAAATAGACATTTCTCCAAAGATATACAGATTGCCAACAAACCCATGAAAGAATGCTCAACATCACTAATCATTAGAGAAATGCAAATCAAAACTACAATGAGGTATCACCTCACACCAGTCAGAATGGCCATCATCAAAAAATCTACTGACAATAAATGCCGGAGAGGGTGTAGAGAAAAGGGAACCCTCTTGCACTGTTGGTGGGAATGTAAACTGATACAGCCACTACGGAGAACAGTATGGAGGTTCCTTAAAAAACTAAAAATAGAACTACCATATGACCCAGCAATTCCACTACTAGGCATATACCCTGAGAAAACCATAATTCAAAAAGAGTCGTGTACCAAAAATGTTCATTGCAGCTCTATTTACAATAGCCAGGACATGGAAACAACCTAAGTGTCCATCATCGGATGAATGGATAAAGGAAGATGTGGCACATATATACAATGGAATATTACTTAGCCATATAAAGAAACAAAATTGAGTTATTTGTAGTGAGGTGGATGGACCTAGATTCTGTCATACAGAGTGAAGTAAGTCAGAAAGAGAAAGACAAATACTGTATGCTAACACATATATATGGAATCTAAGGGAAAAAAAATGTCATGAAGAACCTAGGAGTACGACAGGAATAAAGACACAGACCTACTAGAAAATGGACTTGAGAATATGGGGAGGGGGAAGGGTAAGCTGTGACAAAGTGAGAGAGTGTCATGGACATATATACACTACCAAATGTAAAACAGATAGCTAGTGGGAAGCAGCCACATAGCACAGGGAGATCAACTCGGTGCTTTGCGACTACCTAGAGGGGTGGGATAGGGAGGGTGGGAGGGAGGGAGACACAAGAGATATGGGAACATACGTATATGTATAACTGATTCACTTTGCTATAAAGCAGAAACTAACACACCACTGTAAAGCAATTATACTCCAATAAAGATGTAAAAAAAAAAAGAGTCATGTACCACAATGTTCATTGCAGCACTATTTACAGTAGCCAGGACATGGATGCAACCTAAGTGTCTGTCGACAGATAAATGGATAAAGAAGATGTGGCACATATATACAACGGAATATTACTCAGCCATAAAAAGGAACGAAATTGAGTTACTTGTAGTGAGGGGGATGGACCTAGAGTCTGTCATACAGAGTGAAGTAAGTCTGAAAGAGAAAAACAAATACCAGATGCTAACACATATATGGAATCTAAAAAAAAAAAAGGTTCTGAAGTGAGAGAGTAGCACTGACATATATACACTACCAAATGTAAAACAGACAGCTAGTGGGAAGCAGCCACATAGCACAGGGAGACCAGCTCGGTGCTTTGTGACCACCTAGAGGGGTGGGGGGAAGCTGGGAGGGAGACACAAGAGAGAGGGGATATGGGTATATATATATACATGTAGCTGATTCACTTTAGCTGTTTCTGTTATACAGCAGAAACTAACACAAAAATGTAAAGCAATTATACTCCAATAAAAATGTTAAAAAAATGATAACTACGACAAAGTATCACTGGATTTGTAACATATATAAATATAATATGTATAACAATAATATAAAAAGGAAGAAAAGGGAATAGAACTATATAGATATAACATTTCTCCATCTTCTGGAATTTAGTATATATCAAAAGTAGATTCTGATAAGTTAAGATGTATATGGTAACAGGTTATACATACAATGAAACACCCAGCCATAGGAAGGAATGGAGTTCTAATACATGCTACACCATGGAAAACTCTTGAAAACATTATGCTAAGTGAAATAAGCCAGAAACAAAAGGACAAACATTGCATGATTCCACTTCTATGAAATACCTAAAATAGGCAAATTCAGAGACACCAAAAGTAGAGTAGAGAATACCAGGTGCTAGGAAGGAGGAGTTATTGCTTAATGGGTACAGAGTTTCTGTTTGGAGCAACGAAAAAATCAGGGGGATAGTGAATATGATAATACCACTAAACTGTACAGTCAAAATGGTTAAGATGGCAAAGTTTATGTTATACATATTTTACCACAATTTTTTTTAAAAGATGCATATGGTAAGCCTTAGAGCAACCACTAAAAAAAATAGTGGAAAAAATCATTAAAGAACTAAAAAGTATTACATAAGAAAATATTCACTTAATGCAAAAGAAAGCAGTAGAAAAGGAACAGAGGAACAAAAAAGACATGAGACATATAGAAACCAATACCAAATAAACACATTACAAGAAAGGAAAAGTGCAGACCAATGTCGCTCATGAATACAGATGTAAAACCCTCAAAAAATATTTGCAAATCAAATCCAACAATGTATAAAAAGAATTATATGCCATGACTAAGTGGGATTTATGCCAGGTATACAAGGCTGGTCCAATATTCAGAAATCAATTAATGTATCCACCACATCAACAGGCTAAAGAAGAAAAATCATATGATCATATCAATTGATTACAGAAAAAGAACCTGACAAAATTCAACACTGATTCATGTTAAAAACAAACAAACAAACAAAAAACCTCAGTAAATAGGGAATAAAAATGTTCTACAAAACACCTACAACTAACATCAGACTTAACAGTGGAAACTGGATGCTTTCCCTAAGATTGGGAACAAGGCAAGAATGCCCCCTCTCATCACTCCTATTTAACATGCTACTAAAACCACTAGCTAGTGCAACTAGACAAGAAAAGGGAAAAGAGAATCTTACTGTATGATGAATATATGAAACAACTTCACTGAGGCGGATGGAAGAAAAAGGTGCTAACCTAAGTAACTGTGGAAATGAGTGGGACCTACAAGACTAAAGGGAAAGGAACTACACTAAGCACTGCACTCTAGTTGATAAAGCTTTTTTCCCATGGAGTATGGTCTAACAAGTCAGATACTGCTACATGTGTATGCTGAAACTGAATAACTGAGTAACTGTATGGCGCATGGTGGGAGCCAGGTTTCTCACTGGGGGAGTGAAAATTTACAAACAAGCAAGGTGAAGAGGCTAGAACGATTCATGTGATAATGGATTAGAATTGGAGACAGTATGAACTCATGTTTAGCTTAATACATATAGATACAGATGGTTACATCAGAAATATTTCTAGATGTGTATATATGCATGGGTTACTATTCACACATATTTCTTTGAGGATTTAAAAGACATCCCTAGCAATAGCACACCTACCTGTAGGCAGTTATGTTCCCCCAACTTGAGGACAGGGTATTTATATAAACTGAGAAGTGGCAATGGAGAGCTGCAAGGCTGGAGACAGGATAGGCGGGGAAGTATCAGGGACAGCAAGAGAGGCAAATGTTGGAGGGTCGGGAAGAGGTTTCAGCACCTGCCTAACAAGCAATGTTGCTGATACTCTAAAAACAGAAGAAAAAAGCCAACAGAAGCCAGTCCACTGGCCTGAAGCTGAAGTGCAACACAACTGGGACAGAAATTAAGGCATGTCTAGGCAAACTTTTCTAAGTTGACCTTGGGCACATTTACTTTTCCCATCCCCATGTGTTCTGAAGGTGCCAGGACCCAAAGGATTTAACTTGGGGTGTAGGCTCTGGGAAGGGCCCTGCATGAAAGCCTGCTGCCATGGCCTTGGTGGGGTGTGTAGGTGTGCTGAGAATGAGCCAATGTGCTAAGGGAGATGATGAGCATTGCGAGCTGAGCCCCAAGAGCCTTAGAAGTAGGTGACTGGGTGTGGTCATTTGACCCATTGAACAGGCCACAGAAGCTGGCCCCTTCACAGGCCAGGAAAGGACTTTCTGGAAGGGTCTGGATACACCCCTTCAGGGGCTCCTCTGGCTCCAGGGGTGAGCTCCGGTGTCCAGAGACATTACCAGGCCCAGATGCAGGAAATGGGAAGGTGGGATGCATAAAACCAGGTGGGTCCTGGTATGGGACACCGGTGAGTCAGGAAGCACGGAGCAAGCAGATATAAAAAAGTTCCAGACCAGGAGCCACTGACTTGGTTTCTGAACCCAACTCTGCCATTCTCTGCTTTGAGAGTCACATAGCCTCTCCGAGCCTCAGTTTCCTCATCTTTATGAATGACTCATCCAGCTTCTTCACATGGTGATCGGCGAACAGAATGAGATACCGTATGTGCATGTAGTTGGCAAACAAGCAAGTCTCAACCAGCGGTTCTCAAAGTGTGATCTGAGGACACCTGGAGGCGGGGGCGGGGTGCCCTGAGACCCTTTGAGAGGATCTGCCAGGTCTTCCCTTTTCCAAATAGACTGTGCATGAGCCTGAAATTTCTTGGTAAACTTCCTCCAAGGCAGCTGATATGAGACTCCAATGGTCCTTAATTAAACTGAAGAGATTTTCAAACATATAAAACCATGCCACTTTTTTTTAATAGTTATTTTCATTAAAGATGAAATTTGCGTTAAATTTGAATGGATTTGTTATTTTTAAATGAATATTTAAAATTTTTAATTCCTCATACCGTTAAAATCAACAGATACAAGCAAAAGCCCTTCGGGGTCCTCAATAATTTCTCAGCCTGTAAAGGGATCCTGAGACCGGACAGTTTGGGAACCGCTGTGACCAACAACAGTGGAGGCGAGCCGCCTCTCAGCATCCTCTGAGAGGCTGACTCCAGGCCCCCTTTTATAAAACACGCATTACGTTCACGGTTTCCACGTGTGGGGACGCTAGTTTTGTTTTCTGGGTCTCAGAGATCCAACGCTTGTACCCATTTTCCCGGCCCAAGTAAGGGCCCTCCCACAGGGAGGCACTGACAGTGTGGGGCGACCCTAGCGGGGGGTCGGCGACCTTGGCAGAGGTCGAGCCCGCGCGCGCGTGAGGCAAACGATGCTCCCGGCTGGCGGGACTTCCCGCCAGTGGACGAGGAGGCCGCGCCTGCGCGGCGTTGAGCCGGGTACCGACCCACGGTGAGCCTGACCGGGTAGCGGGGGACTGGGGACCTGCACTCACAGCCTCGGCAGCGCCGCTGCCGCCGCTCCGCGCGCCGCCCTCCTCAGCAGACGCAGCGCCATCTTGTCTGCGCGCGGGCCCCGCCCCCGCCATGTCCGTCTCCGCTTCGTCCCGCCCCTGTCGCCACGCCCCCACGCCGCCGCGTCCCGCGCACGTCCTGCCCAGAGCCCGTGTCTCCACGCCCCGCCCCGTCCCCGCAAGCCACGCCCCCCTGCTCTTGCGCACTTGCCCCCTCCGGCTGTCAGAACTTCCAGGCTGTAACGCGAGGCAAAGCAGAGTCCGAATGGGTGGATTTTGGGGTGGCTGAATCCAACCCTTCCCGTGCTTCTGGGTTTTTAGGGCGGGTTTTGAGAGACCTTGCATTTTCCCAGCCAGACGTGGCCAGATTTTCTAGGGATTTCTTTGTTGTTTTTGTTTAAATACTATACCTAACAAAGATTGTGAGTCTCACCGTGTGCGTGCCTCGGTTAACAGTCAATCCATTATGGGACATATATGACTGTAATAGGGTCAGAATAGATGCTGCTGGCAGCTTTCTGGGGCCAGAGAAATGCTTGTTGAAGACACGGGGCAGCGAACACAGCGCTTCACTCCAACTCCTTCCTGCCAGTCTGTCAAAACTCGGGCTTCACAGTCAGGAGAATGCTAAGGTATTAAAACAGCTTACCAGCTGTGTGACTTTGGACAAATGACTTAAGCTCTCTCTGCTGAAGTTTCCTCCTGTAAGATGGGAATATAAATAGTACTCATAGGGTTATTATAAGGATATGTTGCGTTAATATACTGAGAGCTTAAAACCTCTTCTGGCCCAGAACACACGCTCAGTAATGTTAATTACTTCTCATTATTATTATCATCACACCAATTCCTTTCTTAAAAATCTTTGGTGACTTCCAATGAGAAGTGTTAAAATGAAAAACAAAAACAAACAAAAAAAATGAAAAACAAATGAAGAACAACCTTGAAAATTCCCTGAGCAGACAAAATCTGTTTCATCATACAAGCAAAGCCTAATTTAGCTTATTTTGCAAGACAACTTGACCTAGGTCATTTCTTGTTTACGCCTCTGGAAATCATAAGCAAAAACTTGAACTATTTCCCAAGGTAACCACTGACAAATTCCCTATATTGAAGAAAACTCTAGTATTGTAACCAATCACTGTGAAGAATAAACAGTCACTACTTTCTCACTAAATAAGCTGCTTTATAACAATATATCCCTGAGCCTCATTCCACGTTTTTGTTTGAGTGCTCCCAGTTTGCAGAATGTCTTTTTGATGTGGGCACAATAAACTTTTACCAATTACTACTTTGGGGATTCATTGGGTTTACTTCTGTTATTTATGAACTTTTGACAGAAGCATTTAGAATAAAACCCCAGTTCTTCACCATGACCCTGAAGTCCTTACTCTATCTGGCCCCTGCCTGTCCCTTCAACCTTATTTCAGCCCTACCCATCTTCTTTCTGTGGGTTTTTTTGGTTTTTGTTGTCTTTTTAGTGCGATAAGCCCCTTCCCACTTCAGGGCCTTTGCATATGCTGTTTCCTATCCCCAGAACGCTTATGGCTATACTGTCGCATCCTCCTGGACATTTACCCTATCTACCACCTGCTCAAAGAGCCTGAGCTGACAACCCAAACTAGAGCATCCCCCTGGTCTATTTCACTGGCACAGCAACCTGATCATTTCCGTCACAGCCCTCATCACAACGTTTATCAATTTGGGAATTTACTTTCTTATTGTTGCCTTTCCCCTGGTGGTTCTCAAGGTGGGAAGGAACTACTGCCCATTATCAGGTGGCTTTCAGAGTGCATTATTGTCATTTAGGGTGCAGAGCTAGGGACGTTTGGGCAATCCCACTCATAGAAGGGCTGCTAGTGCTCTGGTCTAGAAACGCCATCTACAGGAATAGAATGTGAGCTCTTTGAGAGCAGGGACCCGGTATATCTTGTCATTGCTGTGTGCCCACAGCACCTGGCTCAATGACTTGTAACCTGTAGGTACTTAATAAATATAAGATGAAAATGTTCCTCTAGCCTCATTATAATTCTGAGAACTGACATATGAGTTGTTATCCTTACTAAAAATGCCCTGGTCCTTATGGCTTTTTAGGTAAAATACAACCTCCAATGACTTATTTGCTAAATGATCCAATATCTTTCAGATTCTGCTTGAAGAAATTGTAGCTGTGCCCATTCTCACCAGGACTGCTGTGGTTTTGTGGGTTTTTTTTAAAGGTTTACTTTTATTTATTTATTTTTATTTTTTGGGCTTCCGCAGTGGCACAGTGGCTAAGAATCCGCCTTCCAGGACATGGAAGCAACCTAAGTGTCCATCGACAGATGAATGGATAAAGATGTGGCACATATATACAATGGAATTTTACTCAGCCATAAAAAGAAATGAAGTTGAGTTATTTGTAGTGAGGTGGATGGACCTGGAGTCTGTCATACAGAGTGAAGTAAGTCAGAAAGAGAAAAACAAATACCATATGCTAACACATATATATGGAATCTAAAAAAAAGAAAAAAAGGTCATGAAGAACCTAGGGGCAGGACAGGAATAAAGACACAGACGTAGAGAATGGACTTGAAGACATGGGGAGGGGGAAGGGTAAGCTGGGACAAAGTGAGAATGTGGCATGGACATATATACACTACCAAATGTAAAACCAACAGCTAGTGAGAAGCAGCCGCATAGCACAGGGAGATCAGCTCGGTGCTTTGTGACCACCTAGAGGGGTGGGAAAGGGAGGGTGGGAGGGAGGAAGACGCAAGAGGGAAGAGATATGGGGATATATGTATATGTATAACTGATTCACTTTGTTATAAAGCAGAAACTAACACACCATTGTAAAGCAATTATACTCCAATAAGGATGTTTAAAAAAAAAAAAAAAAAGAATCCGCCTGCCAATGCAGAGGACACAGGTTCAAGCCCTGGTCCAGGAAGATCCCACATGCCACGGAGCAACTAAGCCCATGCACCACAACTACTGAGCCTGCGCTCTACAGCCTGTGAGCCACAACTACTGAGCCCGTGTGCCACAACTAATGAAGCCTGCGTGCCTAGAGCCCGTGCTCCACAACAAGAGAAGCCACCACAATGAGAAGCCTGCGCAGCGCAATGAAGAGTAGCCCCTGCTCGCCACAACTAGAGAAAGCCTGCACGCAGCAACAACCCAACGCAGCCAAAAGTAAAATAAATAAAATAAATTTATGGGCTTCCCTGGTGGCGCAGTGGTTGAGAGTTCGCCTGCTGATGCAAGGGACACGGGTTCGTGCCCTGGTCCGGGAAGATCCCACATGCCGCGGAGCGGCTCGGCCCGTGAGCCATGGCCACTGAACCTGCGCGTCTGGAGCCTGTGCTCTGCAACAGGAGATGCCACAACAGTGAGAGGCCCGCGTACCGCATAAAAATAAATAAATACATTTATTAAAAAATATTAAAAATCAATTCAAATAATACATTGCATAGAAAGAGCAAGATGCAAATTTACCCAAAGCCAGTTAAGCCTCAGGGCCACTGAGTTGCACTGGTCCCCTCCAAGTCCCCACCAATGTGTTCACAAGGGTATTTTTTTTTTTGTAAACTGTACCAAAGTAAAATATTTTAACTACCATTGGTTAAGACACTTTCTTCGTCTACTTCAACTGTTCCTCTCTTGGACTTCCTTTGTGTTGGGTGCCGTTGGAGTGGCTGCAGGTATTTTGGGAGTCCAGCCAAGGAGAAGATGAGCTGGGATATATTTGGTTTAGATTTAATAGAATACGTTTATGTGATTTGCAATCATTTCCATGTTTGGTTATTACTAGCAGTCCTAGTTTAGGAATGGCTTTCAGAAATTCTGCTATCCACTGTGCTGACTCACCAGCATAAAGATGCAAAGGTCAGAGGATGTGCCCCTGGGGCACCTGGCACCAGAAGTGTGAGTAGTAGAAGAGAAACAAAGTTTGAAAGGCATGGAGCCAGAGACCATCTGTGGAAAATTCTTCCAGTTAACAGAAATGTAAAATTGTAAAGAGAGAGTTTGGTTCTTATCTGTATCTGGCCAACATGGAAGCTCTCTCCTGTCTGGAATACACTCTAATAACATTGTGGTGGCTTTCGCAGTGTCGGCCCAGCTCGGCTAGGACCACTTCTCCCATAATTTCCTTGCCTGTGTGGTACCGGGTTGGGGTCATTCACAAGAGACATTTGCACGAGCTCTGGAAGGTGGAGGTGAAGCAGCAGGTCACGTGTGCTCACCCTGCTGACATGGGGCAGTCAGTGTTAACTTCCTCTCTTTTGAGATTATCTACAGATCTCATTACGTTGATATCCACCCATTTTTTTCAACTCAAACATTTATCGACATGATTCCTGACCTCAAGAAGCTAATCTGAATGAAATTCAGTCACGTGCTACAACATGGATGGACCTTGAGGACATCATGCTAAGTGAAATAAGCAAGTCACAAAAGGACAGATACTGTACAATTTCACTTATATGAGTTTCCTAGTCAAATTCATAGAGACATAAAGGAGAATGGGGGTTGCCAGGGGCTGGAGGGAGGGGAAATAGAGAGTTAGTGTCTAATGGGTACAGAGTTCAGTTTTGAAAGATGAAAACAGTTCTGGGAATGGATGGTGGTGATGGTTGCACAACAGTGTGAATGTACTTAATGCCACTGAGCTGCACACTTAATATGGTTAAAATGGTGAATTTTATGATGTTCATATTTTACCAAATAAGAAAAAAGATTTTATTTATTTTTATCTTTATTTATCTTCAAACGGAAGTATAGTTGATTTATAATATTATGTTAGTTTCAGGTGTATAACATAGTAATTCAATATTTTTATATATTACACTCCATTTAAAGTTATTATAAAATATTGGTTATATTCCCTGTGCCATACATTACATCCTTGTATGTTATTTATTTTATACCTAGTAGTTTATACCTCATAATCCCCTTTCTTTATCTTGCCCCTCCCCCCTTCCCTCTCCCCGTTGGTAACCACTAGTTTGTTCTCTGTATCCATGAGTCTGTTTCCGTTTTCTTATATTCATTCATGTTTTATTTTTTAGATTCCACAT